TTTGAAAATCGTGCAGTGTGAACTCGGCATTAATGAGCTGTTCTGATCATCACTGTGCTCTACAAGATCAAGATCATCAAGAATACAGGTAAGTCATGTATGTATTCATTTGACTAAGTTACACAAGTTATTCAAACTGAATGGTATAACTTCACTTTTTCCCCAGAGAACTGTAATAATGTTTGTATTGTATTAATGTCTCTCAAACACACCCCTTTCTACTGTCAAAAATAAATAAAACAAAGATTACTGGAGTATGTTTTACAAGAAAATACTATTTCAGTCTTTCAGAGTACAACAAAAAAAAATTGCATTTAAATCAGTGTGTAACAACATTTATTTGTAATTCATTTTCAAGCAAATTGTAAGTGAAAATTATTTCAAAGTTTGTTTTGTTTTTTCAGTGTACAAAGAGCAAAGAATTGAACCCAGACAAATCTGATCTGGCCAGTTTGTGACTGCAGAGCAACATGACAGAGGAATATACAATATACCCTGACTACTACAACAACTACTATGAAGAACTGTTGTGTCTCAGAGAGGAGGTGGCGAAAGTCAAGTCAAGTCACCTTTATTTATATAGCGCTTTTAACAATACAGATTGTGTCAAAGCAACTGAACAGCATTAATTAGGAAAATAGTGGGGGCAACAGCTTCTAATGTATTAGAGAAGATAGTGCCCATGAAAGTCGGATCCATTGCTATGCCACTTTTTTACATATTCGTGGTTGTGTTGAGCTGCATCTATAACATACTAGTTCTGGTTTTCCTGGCACTCTTCAAAAGCCTGAAATTCCTGACCAATTTTTTCATCCTCAATTTAGCTGTGTCAGATCTGCGGTTTACTTTTGGACTTCTGTTTTTGGGTTTGTACTTTCTACTGTAAGTTTTTCTTCTACTGTATGTTGGTTTTTACAGCAGTGTGTTGTTCTTGACTCTAATGACCGTTCAGCGTTTTATCATTTGGATCCTGAGTGGAACGGCTGCACTGCTCGGTTCACTTGATATCAGAATCATGACAGAATCTGACAGTCAATACTGTGAATATGGCAGTGTTGAATGGAATTCTGGCATTGTTTATTTTCAAAATGCCTTTTTTCTTCATTGCATTCCTAATCATGTTTTTTGTTATGGCAAAATACTTTGGACGATCACAAAATCACTGACTAATAAAAGATACAAGACTGTTAGACTAACATTTTTTATCGTGCTGGTGTTTTTTATCGGTTGGGCTCCATATAACTTTGTCCTGTTACTAAAATCTTTGACCGACCATCCATTCACAGACTGTGAAGTAAGCATAAGAGTTGACTATGCTGCATATTATGCTTGCCGAATGTTAGCTTTCTCACACTGTTGCATAAACCCAGAGATTTTAGTTTTTATAGATGCAAGGTTCCGTAATCGTTTTGAGCAATCCCAGGAAGATTTTGTTTAAAGATAGAAGTCTATGAATAATGTCTCAGAACTATTAACCGTTTTGATGTTATGTTATTTTAATTTCTGATTTGTTCTACTTAATATGACAAGACAGAATCGCCTCATTTAGATAATGTTGCACAATGAAAATGAAAGATGACACACGGGGTAAATCATGCTAGTCTAAATAAACAGTTTTAAATATAGACTGTCAGGTTCAAATTCTTGTCAAAAGTATGTCCCTCTATTATTTTCTGACAGCTGTCAGAGAGAGTGGGCGGGGATTTATGACCTCAATCTGTGAATGCAGATATGATGGTTAGACTTTGTTTACGTTACACTGAGATCCGATCACAATGCATCCTCGACTACCTCTGGACAAGGACACACTCATCGGATAACACTCCAATCAAATACTTGTCTATTATGTGGACAACATCCAGATACAGTTCACATGTTAATGGGTCATTCAGTGTCAAATCAACCAGAGGTCCCCGGCTCAAATTTCTGATTTTGCTAATATTTTTTTCTGAAAATAGATACACATGTATAATGATGAAAGCCACCATATTACATATCATGGATGAATATTTACTGAGTAATCCACTATTTTGTAGAGGGGGGTCAAAATGGCAATTTTCACTAGAGATTCAGAGACAAATTACAAGGGGGTAAACATGACTTCAGAAAGATGGCAGCATCATATTGTTATTTTTACACAGAGATTGGTAGGTCTGTTAGTAAAATCTGTTGACTTTAGCAATCTTTCTTACATTATGTGCCAATGGTGACCATTCAAAAATGAGGAAACGGCACTTTTCAAGTTTTTACTCCAAAGTTTGCATGTCTGTAACTCAAGAAGTATTAAAGATATTTTAATGCCCTTTTAGATATTGGGTCTTAACAAACTTTGCTTTTGGCATCTTCATTTTTAAATATACTGGGTAATTCTAAACCCTAAGTAAATGGGATCCTGGGTAATCTTATTTTGCATTTCACACTGTTCATACTTTACCCTGGCCATTCATAGTCTGACGTTGTTACACTGTACATTCCTAAACCCTGGGTTATTGTTATTATTTGCATATTTGCATTGTCAACAGTGATGACAAGATAAACACAAAACCACATTTGGTTTTTGACAATTGAAAATGGGTAGGATACTAAATTTGGACATGGAGCTGCACTGAGATCTTAATATCTCTGGGATTAAACCATTCAGGGCCTTAAAAATTAAGATTCCAAAAGAAAAGTTTCTTAAGAACTAGAATCTTAAATCATATTAAGATAACTTTAATACTTCTTGAGTTACAGGCACGCACATTTGAGAAAAAAGAACATTTATGACACTCAAGCAGGTATGTCCTATACAATTGTTTTGATAGAGGGAAACAAGATACATTTCTAGTTTCAGCATTACTTATTCTTCAGACATTTTGCTTTAAATACAATCAGTATCAGCTGTATGTAAAGTGACCAACATTTGGTTTTCAAGCACTGAAAATGGGTAATATTCAACAATCTGAAAATGGAGCCTCGTTGAGTTGCCCATATCTCTTGGACTGAATGATGCAGGGCCTTGAAACTTAAGATTCCAAAAGAAAAGTTTATTAAGAACTAGAATCTAAAATCACGTTACGATATCTTTAATACTTCTTGAGTTATATGCACGCAAACTTAGGAAAAAGAACTCAGACCGGCATGTTTATGCAGTTTGTTTTGACAGAAGGAAACAAGATACATTTCTAGTTTCAACATTATTTCTTCTTCAGATATTCCTCTTTAAAAGAAAAGAAGCATCATATTTTTTCAGATTGACCCACATTGGGTTTTTGACCACTGAAAATATGTACAATTTAATGATTTACCCCTGGAGCCGAATTGAAATTCCAATATCTCTGGAACCGAACCATGTAGGGCCTTAAAAACGAAGATGAAAGGAAAGTTTGTTGAGACTCAATATCTAAAAGGACATTAAGATATCTTAAATACTTCTTGAGTTACAGGCATGCAAACTTTGGAGAAAATTTTGAAAAGTGCTGTTTCCCCATTTTTGAATGGTCACCATTGGCACATAATGAAACAAAGATTGCTAAAGTCAACAGATTTTACAAATAGAACTCCCTGTAATTTGTCTTTGAACCTCTGAATCAAAATTGCCATTTTGACCCCACCCTACAAAATAGTGGATTACTCAGTAAATATTTATCCATGACATTTCATATTTTGGCTTTCATCACTATACATGTTTATCTTTCTTCAGAAAAATAAATGAGCAAAATCAAAAATTTGAGCCAGGGAAGTTTCTGAAATTTGGTTGATTTGACACTAAATGACCCTAATGCCAAGTGTAAACACTTTTGGAGCCCTTTTCTAACCCTTTTTATACGGTTCCATAAAGAGCCATGCTTTGAAAGGGTTATCTAGAAACCTAACAGTGTTATAAAGAATGTTTATGTCCATCATGTACTTTGGTGTAACTGAGTAGGTTATCAGTTTCGCTCTACAGAGGACAAGGTTGTGGGGAGAGACAGCATCTGTCTGGGTAGAAATACACATTTGAGTTTAGAGTCACAGTGAATATCTCACATTTGTTTAAGTAAATGCAATTATGTTTATAAAGGCCAAAAGTAGCTAAATGGACAGTATGTGAGCACTTCACTATGTTAAAAGAAAAAGTGGAAAAAAAGTAATAGGATAGCTTAAATGTTTTTGTGACTGAAATTGAAAACTTTGTTCCCTAGCTTTTATCAAGTAAATGCTACTCCATTTCCCCCCAGTATAATAGCAAATTAAGTTACAAACCAAATGACTATGACTTTTGATTGCAAAACTTGTTTTCTTGGAAAATTTGAGCACATGTGACTCTCTTATGAAGCTAGACATATGATCACACACATCATTTGGGTCTTTTGCTCATGAGAAAGCAGGTGACTTTCCTATTGCATTTGTTGCCTCTTAGTAGAACAGTTACTTCAAGTGTAAAGATCACAAAGCCACTTCAGCTTCCTCTGTGCATGTGAGATGAAAGGATTTAGAGTCTGAGGTTTGAGGGGGGATGTATGTTATTTACCTATCATACAAACATCTCTCAGAAATCACCAGAACAATAACGCTGCTCTTTTTAATTTATTGATATAGTACATTCACACAATCTGAAGTTATCATAGCTGGTTGATCTAAAAAATATAGTTCCTGAAATTCCAGTTCTACAGATTGTGGTCGTCTGCAGTGATCAGTTAATGAGCTGTTCTGATCATCACTGTGCTCTACAAGATCATCAAGAATTCAGGTAAGTCATTTATATATTCATTATAACTTCACCTTTTCCCAAGAGGCTGTATTAATGTTTCTACACTATCAAAAATGATTTTTTGAAGTTGTAAGTAAAACAAAGATTACTGGACCATGTTTTACAAGAAATCAGTGTAACTTACCATTTCTTTTTAATTATTTCTAAACTTTACAAGGAAATTCTAAGTGAAAATTGTTTCAAAGTACTTTTTTTTTTTCAGTGTACAAACAGCGAAGAATTGAACCTGGACAGATCTGTTCTGGCCAGTTTGTGACTGCGGAACAACATGACTGAGGAGTATACTGACATTTACAACAACATCGATGACTATGAAGACCAGTTGTGTCGCAAAGAGGAGGTGGTAAAAGTCGGATCTATTCTCATTCCATTCTTTTTCACAGCAGTGGTTGTATTGAGCTGCATCGGTAACATCCTCGTTCTGGTTTTCCTTGCACTCTACAAAAGCCTTAGATGCCTAACTAACGTCTTCATCCTCAATTTAGTTCTGTCAGATCTGCTGTTCACTTTTGGGCTTCCGTTTTGGGCATCATACTATATTTCTGGTTGGACATTTGGAGAGGTTGGCTGTAAAGCTGTGAAGTTTTTCTTCTATGTGGGCTTTTACAGCAGTGTGCTGTTCTTGACTCTAATGACCGTTCAGCGTTACATGGCAGTGGTTCATCCTCTGTCCGACTGGGAGAGATGCAGATGCTTTTCAGTAGCTCCCTTTATCATATGGATGTTGAGCGGAACAGCTGCACTGTTAGTCTCCCTTCGTAGCCAAGTCTTAGAACATGAAGGGAATCTTTACTGTGAATTTGACAGTATTCAAGTAAAACATGCCGCTGTTTATTTACAAAATGTTTTCTTCTTGATTGCATTTTGCATCATGGGATTTTGTCAAGTCAGAATGTTCCAGACAATCGCACAATCCCGAACAAAGCGGCGACACAAGGCTATCAAACTAATATTCTGCATCGGGCTGGTATTCTTCATCGGTTCACCCTCAGGCCATCCAAGAAGTAGAAGTAGTTTGTTTCTTCATAAGAGCAGATTTGGAGAATTTTTAGCATCACATCACTTAGTCAACAATGAATGCTCTGCAGTGAATGGGTGCCGTCAGAATGAGAGTCCAAACAGCTGATAAAAACATCACAATAATCCACACCACTCCAGTCCATCAAAGTGAAAAGCTTATGAGAAAGAAATCCATCAAGACATTTTTAACTTTAAACTGCTGCTTTCAGCTAAAATATGACTCCATCAATATTATTATTTTGGCCAGTGAATAAATCGTCCTGTCTGAATCAGGAGAGAAATATTCACAGATCAAGCACAGTGTCTGTGGATTTTGATGTGAGAGAAGAACAGGGGATGGACTTTTTCACTGCAGGAAGCGTTATTATGGATTATGGCCGGACGTGATGGATTAAAGTTAAAACGTCTTAATTATGGCTTTGTTTCTTACAAACACACAGCTTTTCACTTCACAGGATGTTCATTGATGGACTGGAGTCATGTGGATTACTTGTGGATTATTGTGATGTTTTTATCAGCTGTTTGGAATCTCACTCTGACGGCACCCATTCACTGCAGAGGATCCATTGGTGAGCGAGTGATGTAGTGCTAAATTTCTCCAAATCTGTTCCGATGAAGAATCTAACTCATCTACATCTTGGATGACCCGAGGGTGGGTACATTTTCAGCAAATTCTCATTTTTGTGTGTATTATTCATTTAAAAATTTGTAAGAAAACAAACACTGAAGAATCTGTCTGCACATGGGATCATATCATTAAACAAATTACAAAGAACACCTGAAACAAAAATGTTCAGTGCTATATCTTTGTGTAAAAGCATGTTCTAATTTGAATAATCAGATTCAAGAATCAAGTCAATATTTCAAGGAAAATATGTTGTGAATGAAGTGTTGTGAACTTCTCAAATACTCCCACCTAAAATAAACCATGACAACTGTTTGTGAAAATGCAGATTATGCTGTTTTGTTTTTGTGCAGTGAAATACGTCAAATGTAGTCATGACTGGAAGTTGACTTTTTTCTTTCACGTGACAAAGTGTAAATTGTGGTCTGTGGAAGGAAGCACAGCATCATCATTGACCTACGTAAACAGGAAAATGGAAGATTTGAGATCATACTTATTTTTTGTATGTAATTTTTAACAGGTAAATATCAACAATATTAGTATGTTTTTAGAATACATACTGCACACGAGATCCCTGCAACCATTATCACCTTTATAAAAGCAACAAACTTTTACAACTTTTTAAATTACGTCTTAATTATGAAATAAATACATGATTGAAAAGAAGTTTCTTTATGTATTTAATGAGTCTGTCCTACTGTTGATTTTAAAATTGAAACAAAAGCAAGGGCTAGATCAGGGCTGTCCAAACTCGGTCCTGTCCTGCAGAATTTAGCTCCAACTTGCCTCAACACACCTGACTGGAAGTTTCTATGCCTAGTAAGAGCTTGATTAGCTAGTTCAGGTGTGTTTAATTAGGGTTGGAGCTAAACTCTGCAGGACACCGGCCCTCCAGGACCGAGTTTGGACAGCCCTGGGCTAGAGCTATGCTGTTTTACTTATTAACATGAAAATGAAACGAATCATGTGAATACTGTAATGTAAACCAACTGTTTTGAAACTCCCATTAACTGGAAACTACCTTAAAATGTTACTAAGGAATTGACACAACACTTTAAAGAACAACTACTTTCATTGTGAAAACGATACTTTCATTTCACGTTTGTAAAGGAAAAGAGAATTGGCTGAGTTTTGAGGTAGGTGTCTTTAACCCTCCCATTCAACATAAAAAAAACACTCCAATATCCCTTCCAAAACATCCATAACACTACATATTGGCCTCAATTTACTGTGCAGCTTGCCAGTTTTGAGTCATATTAGTACTAACAGAACTGACAAAAAATGAAGGTAAGAATATTCTTCTTTCTTATTTATTAATAAATACACGTTTTACTTAAATATCTAAAATTAATAAAATACAATAATAAATTCTAATGACAAAATGAATATGATTATATAGAGAACATCATGACTGAAGAGTATACAGAACCAGAAGACCAACTATGTCACAAAGAAGAGGTGCTCAAAGTTGGATCCATTGTTATTCCAGTTTTCTTTGGTGTTCTGGTTGTGTGTAGCTGCACTGGTAACCTGCTGGTTTTGGTCATCCTGCTGCTGTATGAGAAGTTTAGATTGCTGATCAACATTCTGATCTTCAATTTAGCTGTGTCAGATCTGCTGTTCACTTTTGGACTTCCATTTTGGGCTTTGTACTTCGTCTATGGTTGGACATTTGGAGATGCTGGCTGCAAAGCTGTGAGGTTTCTGTTCTATCTCGGTTTTTACAGCAGCGTGTTGTTCTTGACTCTAATGACCGTTCAGCGTTACATGGCAGTGGTTCATCCTCTGTCCGACTGGAAGGGATGCAGATGCTTTTCAGTAGCTCCCTTTATCATATGGATGTTGAGCGGAACAGCTGCACTGTTAGTCTCCCTTCGTAGCCAAGTCTTAGAACATGAAGGGAATCTTTACTGTGAATTTGACAGTATTCAAGTAAAACATGCCGCTGTTTATTTACAAAATGTTTTCTTCTTGATTGCATTTTGCATCATGGGATTTTGTCACGTTAGAATGTTCCAGACAATCGCACAATCCCGAACAAAGGGGAGACACAAGACTATCAAACTGATATTCTGCATTGGGCTGTTATTCTTCATTGGATGGGCTCCATACAACATAGTCATGTTCTTGAGAATTCTGCAGGATTATAGTTTGTCTTCATTCGTAGACTGTAGTGTATCCATTCGTCTTGATTATGCATTTTACACTTGCCGGCTGTTGGCTTTTTCACATTGCAGTTTAAATCCAGTGCTTTATGCTCTAATTGGAGAAAAATTTCGGAAACATTTACAAACAATATTGAAGAAAATGTGTTCAAAATAAAGCAATTCCGACCAATCCTGAGACAAATTACTTGTTGTTTTTGGTGTGTTTGTTAAATGCAACAAATCTCACAATGCATAGACTACCACTCAAAATTTTGGGGTCAGTTTTTATTTTATTTTTATTATTAATACTTGATTCAGCGAAGATGCATTAAATTGATCAAAAGTTATGAATGTTAAGATTTCTATTTGAAATAAATGCTGTTCTTTTGAACTTAGAAAAAAAAAAAAAGTATCACTGTTTCCTAGGGACGCTACGATCAGGATTTTTGCAGCCGATACGGAGTACCGATTTCTTGTGATGGTGATCGGCCGATACCAATGCCGATTCTGATGCTTCAAGCTTTATATAGACGGTTTCATCAGGCACACGCGCCTGGCCCGAAGTTAACTTCCGGTCTGTGTTTGTTTATCAGTTAGAGCTGCTTCAGAAATGTGCCGCGGCTGGCTGATAAACACAAGCACTGACTAGAGCAGCGGCGATCAGCCGTAACGCGCCGCAGACATCACTGAATCTGCTGTTAAAAATGAACCATCTATTCATCATATCATCATGCAAAACATACAGGACAAATAGCGATTTTTTCATTGTTTCTCAAAACGTCATAGCATTTAGACACCGGCGATGACATGACTGTGGCGCCAAATCATTTATGTCCCCACGCATCATGTACATCGTCACGCGTTGACGTCATCAAACTGCGATCGGTTCGTGAGATCGGCCAAGTGTAGTGAGTACCGATCGAGTCATAAAATGTGATTATCGGCCGATACCGATCTCCGGCCAAT